GCCCAACGCCCCACAAACCCTCACTGCCTCCCAGGGCCCTTCGGGGCGCTGGCTGTCTTGGCGGCGGAGGCGGAGCCTAGCTAGGAGCAGGAGGGGGCTGGCAGGGGGCAGGGTCAACGCATCCCCTCCTCAGCCTGGGGCCCCATCTCCTGAACCCCACGGCCTCCTTGACCTCAGGCCCTGCACCGTGGGGTCGCCTGGGTCGGGCCCCCACCTGGGAAGCCGAGGGCGGCACCTCCAGTCCTTCTGCAATGGGGCCTGCGAGCTGGGCCCTCCCTGACCCCCCAGGCTCGGTCCCCCCACCACAGGCCCCTCCTGACCCAGGACTGTGCTCATGCCGCTGGCTGGGCCTGAAGCGCCCTCCCAGCTCAGACGGGACTCCCCCGCACCCCCACCCCGGACCCCACCCGCCGGGGGCAGCACCAGCAGCCAGGCGGCCCAGGCTGTGCACTGTGGCTCCCAAATGGACCGACAGGAGGTGGGTGGTAGCAGGACGCGGGCTGCACAGGCCGGGAGCCCTGGGCAGGGAGGGAGGGTCGGGCTGGGAGCACGGGGCTCAGCGTCAAGACCACCGTGAGGCTCAAGCCAAGGGGGCGGCCCTCACGGCTGCCCCAGCTGGTTCCAGTGCTGCAGGGCCGCGCCTGGCCCCCAGCAGGGAAGGGCGCTGAGCAGGCCCTGCCCGACCCCTGGCTCCCCGCGGCCGGCCTGGCAGGCAGGCTCGGAGCCCCCTGCCCAGCCTGTGCCCGCGGTGGCCCCTGCACAGGCGGTCAGCCCGGCCCTGCAGAGTCCCCTGGGAGGCGCTGCAGGCGGGAGGGCAGGGCCAGGGCAGCTGATAGTGAATCAGCTGGCAGGACGGCCGGGACTGAGCGTGCCATTCTCAGGGGATGTGTCACGAGGCGCCCTCGGGTGCGGGCGCCACCCAGGAGCAAGGCCTGCTGGGAAGGGGCCGCCCTGGAGGGTCCTACAGCCCGGCCCGCGAGGCCGCCCTCGTCCCGCCCCCGAGGGTCCAGCAAGGCCGGCAGCTCTTGGGAAAGGAGGGCCCGGCCGGGCGCCGGCGGCCGGAGGGCAGATTCCAGGGGACGTGGGGGACCCACCGCGTGCAGCTGCCCAGCGGCCAGTGGGCCTGAGCCGCCCCTCCACCCGCTGTGCCCGCGGGAAGGCGAGGCCCCGCCAGCCTCGCTTCCAAGACTCGCTGTGCTCTTGGCCGTGGACCCCCCCACTCCCCACCCCCCACCCCCGGGCCAGGCCGGATGCGGCTGGAGGACCCTCCCCAGGACTCAGCAACTCGATGCGGGTCCACCCCAGCCCCCCGCCCATGAGCCCGCGAGGCCGCCCTCCCGTGGGCCCCAGGCCAGCAGGGTCTCCCGGTGACTCCTGAGGGGCAGGGACCAGCCGTGGGAGGGGGGCACAGGGGGGCTGCCTCCGCCCCACCCCACCTCCCAGCTGCGGGCCCAGGTCCATTTTTCCGTTTTAGAAAGTGCTTCTGCCATTAAATATTCATCCCAGCGAGGCGGGCCTTTGGCTCCCGGCCCCTGGGCTTCCAAAAAAAGAAAAACACAGGGAAGCCTGGAGGTGCCGGCAGGGGCGGGGGGGGGGGGGGTGGTGGCTGGCAGAGACGCCCCCAAGGCTCTGACCCCCCACAGGTGGCAGCTGCCTTGGAGTGGAGGTGGGGGTGGGGGTCATGGAGGCAGCTGTTCGGCCTGGGTGCACACCCAGACCGCTCTGGGCTCACCCCAGCTCTCCTCTCAGCCCTCAGCCCCCCATCTTCTCGTCCAGCCTCTCCCCTCAACCTCAGGACCTGCCCTGAAACCCTTTGGAGTGTCCTGGTGCCCTCAAAAGAGCCCTCCCTCCTGACATCTTGGCGCCCGCCCGCTCCCCTGAACCCTCACCCTGTTGGCCACTTGCTACTCCCCCACCCAACACTCTCCAGGCCTCCTGCACGTGTGCTGTCCCCGTCTGACAGCTTCCTCCAGGGAGCCCTCCCTGACTGCTCCTGCCCGAAGCTGCCTGACTCACCTCTGCCCATGACCTCCAAGTCCCCGGCCCTTCGGAAGGCAGACAGACCCCCTCACATGAGCTCTGAGCGCAGGGTCCGCCTCCTCCCAGGCAGAGGACCAAGCTGGGAAGGTCTGGGTTTTCAGCCCTGAAGTGGGTGGCAGGGCCCCCAGATGGCCAGTGCCTCACCCCACCTGCCTGGGGCTCACCCCCAGGCCGAACCTAAAACACAGGGGCCTTCAACAAAGGGCCACCCTAGAAGGAGGCAGAGAGGGTCAGAGCCTGAAGGAGAGCGGGTGGGCCCAGCAGTCAGGGGGTCTTCCTGGAATAGGCGGCTCCTGGCTGGTCCAGGACCGAAGAGCTTGGACCGAGGGAGACAAGGCCACAAGGGCCTTCCTGCCGCAGGTCCACACACCATGGGCGCAGGCGGGGTGGGCACACGCTGCTTCAGTGCCCAGGGGAGGTGGGGCCTCTGGGCACTGGACCTGTGGAGCCCCTTTCCCAGGACTTGGGGCACGCGCCGAGCTGTCCCAGACCCAGGGGTGCTGTCAGGGGCACAGCCATCCCCAGCAGAGGCTTTGAGAGTCCGTCTCATTAAGGGGTTGGGAGGGTTGGCACCTGGGCCAAGATGACCTCGCCTGCCTCCTCCTCCGTGCCCACCCCTGCCCGGTGGGGTGGGGCCGAGCCGGCACCGGTCATTCGTCACTGCGTAAAGCATGCGACATGGCCGCTCTGGGCCCTGCAGAGGCCAGAGAGCCTCCACGCTGCTCCTAGACTCAGTGTTCCCATCTGCAAAATGGGGACACAGCGCTGCACTAATGTGGACGGTGCAAAGACTGCCTGCCCGGCTGCCCAGCTCTGCCTGACCTTGGACGTGGCAGCTGTGGTCACTCCTGTTCACAGATGCAAGATCCGGCCCCTCCAGCCCCTCCAGCCCCTCCAGCCCCTCCAGCCCCTCCAGCCCTGGGCTGTGCAGGAGGGCGGGGCTACGGGGGGCCCAGCACTGCCCTGCCCTTGGGGAGGTCTTGGCATTCCCAGAGCCACCCAGCCCCCCGCATGGTCAGCACTGGCCATGGGGCCTCCCTGGCCCTGGTGGGAGCTTCTCCGGTGGGGGCTCAGGCCAAACCAGGGGCTCTCAGGTGTAAGGCGGGTCCCCTGGCCGGAGGTCAGGGGCTCCCTGTCAGCCCAGCTGCCCACACCCTGCTGTACCTCTGGAAGGAACCCGTGGCCCCGGGTTAGGAAGGGATGTGACCACTGGAGCCATCGCAGGCGAAGGACTCGGGGTCCTGTGTGGGGGTGGGGGTGGCACGGGACATTCTGGAAGAGGGAAGGGTCACCTGGTAGGGCAGTTGGGGGTGTGGGGAGGGAGCTGGACCTGGTCTGGTGGGGGGAGGCTGGGTGTGTTCCCAGCACAGCCACCAGGGGGCAGCCTTTACACACAGGCTGGACGGGACATGGCTCTCTCCCCCTAGATTGGATAGGGGTGCAGACCCGCCCTGCATGGCTGGTGCAGGGGGCAGGCTTGGGTGGGTGGAGAGGCCAGGGCGTGTGGTCCCTCCGAGCCTGCCAGGGAGGAATCAGCTGGAAAAGGCCTGGACCAACCCCCTGGGGCCTTATCAGGGATGCAGGCCCCCACCCCCACCCCTCTCTGATGCAGCAGGTCTCCCACCACTGCCCACGAGAGGCACTGACCTCCATCCCTGAGAGCGGACGCCTAGCTGGACGCCAGGAGGCCAGGGAACCACCAAAATCAAGCAGAGAATGAGGGCCTCGAATGGGGAGGGGCCCAGGCCTCTGAGAGGCAGGAGGCTGGCGAGATGGACCCTCGAGCCTGCAGCCTGGGGCGGCCTCTGGGCAGAGGCAGAGGGACGCCCCGTGTCCTCCAGGCCCCCTCTGCTCTCCCTGGGATGTGCTGAGTCCCAGGGACGAGGGCCAGGGCCAGCCCTGGGGGAGGAGGGGGGGGCTGGGGGCTGGGGGCCCACAGTGGCCATCAATCTCCCGCCCACTCCCATCTGGGTGAGGGAGGCCCACACAGGAGGTCAGCTGGGCCTCGGTGTCATCAGACAAATGGGGAGCAGGGGGGCCAGGCAGGTCCTGCTGTGGCTGGAGGGTGTGCCCAGGCGGGAGCACCCCGTCCCCGGCACCAGCAGCGCCATCACCCTCATTGATCTGCTCTCCCCAAGGAGGGGGGTCCAGCCTGCACCGAAGCCGCTGAGCCCAGCCCCCGCCGGCAGCAGGCCAGGTGTCCGGGCGTGGCCAGGCTGCCGCATCCCTGACCGGCATCCCTGACCCGCATCCCTGACCCGCGGCCGGGAGGACTCCTCCGCCCCACCCTCCCTGCAAGATGCTGAGGGCCAGGGCCAGGCCTAGTGCCCAGCAGACGGGGACGGAGAGCACCTGGCGGTCATCCCCAGGCCGGAGGCACAACACCCCCCTCCCCTCGCCTAGCACTGTGGCCTGACCTCTGACCCCTCGGGTCCCTCACCAAACCCCAGACTTCAGGTCCATTCCTGCCACAGCCACCACCCGCCCAGGGGCCCGGCCGCATAGGAGCCACACCACGGACCCAGCCCCGCCGGCCGGGCAGTCCCGGACCGAGACCAACAGCCCCAAATCTTGCTCGCCCCCAAAACGTGTTCGACGGCAGGCCTGGTGGCCCGCGGCTCTCACGCCCCACTCACACGTGCGGCATCTCTAGGGACAAGCCCACCTCCCAGAGGGTCACAGCAGGGGGGCCGCGGCAGGGAGAGAGGCGGACAGTGAGACAGGGGCAGGGGCAGGGGCCACAGCGGTTAGATGAGGGGCGACCTGGAGAGGCAGGTGCGCGATGGGAGGCGGGGAGAGAGGCCCGGGAGGAGGCAGGCAGAGACCGAGAGGCTCCCGAGACGCACGGACGCGCGCGGCACCGCGGGCCGGTGCCCGAGGCCCCCTCACCCCGGCCGGCACCGCACCCCGCGCGGACCCACCCGCCCCGGGGAGCGGGCTGCAGGCGGGAGGAGGCGCACCGCTGCCGGGGGCTCCGGGCCAGGTGGGCAGCACCATGTGGAAGCAGTCGCACATCGCGGCGGCCGGGCGGGCGGGCCGGCGGCGGCCCTCGCGTTCAGTCGCTGGTCCGGATCCGGGCGCCGGCGGCCCGGGGCGGGGCGGGCGGCGCGCTCAGGCTCCGCTGCTCTGCGCTGCCCGTGACGGCCGGCCTCGGACTGCGGACCGAGCCGGCGCCCGCGACCCCGCCACTACCCGGACCCCGCCCCGGCCCGCCCCGGCCCGCCCGGCCCGCCCGGCCCCCCCAGCCCGCGCCCAACCCCCGCCCAGCCCCGCCCGCCGCGCCCAGCCACTGTGAGCGGGTGGGGCCCGTGCCGCCGGCCTCATTCAGCCCATTGGCTGCGGGGGCACAGGCCCCGCCCCCTTGCGCCCAGACCACGCCCATTACCGCCCCTGTTGCGCAGACCACGCCCACGGTCCGCCCCTGGCAGGGGAGGGCCCTGCAGGCCCCGCCTCGAGGCCCCGCCCCCATGCCCGCCCTCCGCCCCGCCCACGTCGGACCTCCCGCAGGACCCAGCCCGCCCCTGGCGCCCCCAACCCCACTTTCCGGTCCGGAGAGGTGACTTTGGATCCTGCCAGGGAGGGGTCGACCGTGAGCCGCAGTCTTAGCGCCTCGTCCAGGGACGGGCATTGTCGTCACCGGCTGGGAGTGGGCGCCCTGGGGGGCTGCAGGGAGGGGCTGTGACTCGGGGTCTGACCCCCCTGGGGGCCGTGGGTGGGGAGAGGGTCCTGGAAGGCCCTGGGCCGTCGTCTCAGGGCGGACAGTCTAGGCCACGCCCTCAGGAGCGCGGGAACAGAGGCAGCAGAGCAGTGTGTGCGCAGAGGACGGTGACCCGGGGCTGGTTCACCCGCGGGCAGGCCCGTGGGCGGGGGCAGTGGGGGCTGAGGAAAGACCACCCCGTTGGGTGGGGGGGTGCCTGGGGCAACTGCTGGAAGTCGGAGACCTCCGGGGGGTGGGGCTGGACCACCTGGGGGTGGGAGGAGCTGGTGGGCGATGGGAGGAGGGGTGTCGGGGGGAGGGGAGCTGGTGAGGGCGGCAGGACAGTTGGGGGCCAGGGGTGCTATGCAGAGGGAGGCTCCCCCGGGGAAGTGGCCAACGAGTGGGGAGCCCCGGAGAGTTGTTTCCATGGGAGTCGGGGGTGAGGAGGCTCAGGCTGTGCCGGGGCACCTTGGAGGCCAGGTCCTGCTGGGGTTGGGGGCCGGGGGCAGAACAGACCCAGGAGAGCACAGCACCAAGGAGGGCATTGGCGGGGCTGCCGGCTGGTGCCGGGACGGACAGATGGACACACAGCCCCCTTTACTTGCAGGCCAGGCTGCAACAGAGGGCCACTCAGACACACAGCCTTGAAACACAGACAGACAGACAGACACACACACACACACACACACACACACACTCGGCCCCATACCCAGGTACACATCTGCTTGGACAGGTCCCCTGCACTCAGAGACAGGCAGGCACACGCACTCACACGTGCACCCACCCCAGCCCACCTGCTGGGATGGGACACGCGTGCACACACACACACACATGAACACACACCCACATGCATGGCTCGCACGCACACGCAGGTGCACAGTGTGCTGACTCCCTGGATGCACAGGGCCCAGGTGAGCCGCTGCTGCATGACTCAGACTCCAGTTCCCGGCAGCCGGCTGCAGCTGGGCAGCCTTCCAGCAGCGGGTCGGACAGACGCGGCTTCACTGCCGGGAAGAGGCCCTGGCAGCCTCCTGCGTCTCCAGCCCATGGCGTGATGGGCACAGCCCTGTCCTTCAGGAGGGGACACGGCCACGGTCTCACCCCTCCTGCCCTGGTGTCTTCTCTCAGGCTGGGCAGCAGCCCTGGGCCAGAGACCCTGCCCCCCTCCCCGGAGCCCTGCCTTCCTCTGACCGCAGTGAGTCAAATCCGGCATCTGTGCAGGTCTGTCGGGGGTCTCAGCCCACCCATCTGGCTGTGGGTGCCGGGGGACACGGGCAGTCTTAGGAGTCCTTGGGGCACAGCTCTGTCCCCATTGGCATGTGACCTTGGTGAAGTTGTGGGGACCCTGGGCCCCCACCCAAATGAAGCAGCCTCACTCCAGGTGACCAAGTGGCACATCCTGATTGTCAAGCAGGATGCACGCCCAGCAGCTCGGGGGGGGGGGGGGGGGGCCTGGTGAGAGGCTGGGGCTGCCTGGCCTGAGCACTGAGGAAGGGGCTGAGCCACGCACTGCTGGCCCCTGTGCAGTTGGGTGGTCCCTGGGGCCCCAGATTCAGGATTGGGGGCAGGGAGCCCCACTCCAGGGCTGCCCCTTCTCCTCTCCTCCCTGCTCTGAAGCAGAGGCATACATCACCTGCTGTGCTCACCCCAGAACCCACTACTGGGTTCTCAGCCTCCGGCCCTCTACATGCAGCTCCTCATGCTGGGACCCAGCCATTAAATTATTGTCGTTGCCACTTCATCACTGTCATGTTGCTACTGTTACGAATCATCATGTAAATGTCTGATATGCAGGATGGTCTTAGGCGACCCCTGGGAAAGGGTCGTTCGACCGCCAAAGGGGTCGCGACCCACAGGTTGAGAACCGCTGCCCTAGGGCCATGTGGGCCCCATTTTATCCCTGGGAGCCCCTGGCTCCACGGGCAGTGCACCCTACAGTGTGCAGAGGGAGACTGCCCAGACGTTGGCTATTGCCCCCAGGCCAGACAGACAGGCCCTGCCTCCTCCTGTGGACTCCTCCCTGCCCCTCGCACCCCTCCTCCCGCGTGCAGGGCCCTGGAAGCCCAGCCTGGCCTCAGGATCCCAGGGCCCGAACCCCAGCCGAGGCCTGGCCACCTGCCTGCCGCAGAGCCCTGTGCTGCCAGGAGCTGGATCATCGTTCTCAGCTGCAGCCTGTCCCAGTGTCCCCCTCTGGGGACAGATGCCCGACTTCAGACGGCCACAGCATCTGGGCGTGGCTCAGGAATCGCTGTCCCCCAGAGGCTGGAGATGAGAGCCCACCTCACAGCCCCCCGGCATACACGCCACCTCTGGGTACCTCCTCCTGGGTGGGGGCCGGGCGGGTCCTGCAGTGCTCTCCCCACTGACAAACAGGCCCACCTCCCCCCAGGACCCCCAGCCCGGGACCCTGGACCACACCCAGCCCTGGCCTTGGCCCGCGGGTCGGGGTCCAGGCTTGCCTGCAGCCTCCCATGTTGGGCACCTGGGTGCTGGGGCTGGGGTGCAGGGCACTGTTGGAGGCAGGGCGAGGAGCTGGGGCTCCAGCCACATCTCTGCAGGCCTGGCTCCGGGCAGAGCCCCCACCCACCGGACCGGGCTCTCCGCCTCTCCAGGCAGCAGGGACGTGAGAGCATCAATGATTGATGCTTCTTTGCAGCAGCCGCAGCAGCATAAGCAAAAATAGCTCTTGCCGTTGTCCCTGCCCTGGCCCTGCCCACCCCGAGGGGCACGGGGGGGGGAGTGCGGGGGGATCTGGACCTCCACAGCTACCCCCACCCTATGCAGCAGGGATAGGCGAGGTGTCCTTCCTGAGGGGCCTGGGAGGGCTCCTTCTCCTGACCACACTGCACCCCACTTCACGGCCCCTGTACCCCCACTTTAATGGGGACCGGCCCCGCTGGCCGGTCTTCCCAGCTGGTGAAGCATATTCCTCTTGAGCAGCTGCCTACCCTGCCCGCCCACGTGGAGGCCTGAGCTTTGGCTGGTACCCATGTCATGCCCCGTCTGTCCGTCCAGATGCTGACCTGAGGAGCAGGGGTCACCTATCAGCAACCTGGGCTGCCCTCACCCCCTCCTTCCGCCAGGGCCGAGCACCCAATGTCGGGGCCCCTCTGCCGCCTCCTCTGAGTCTTGACTCACCCTCGGAGCACCTCCTGAGTGGGGTCACCAGGTATATGAGTGTCCTGTGGCCACTGTGACAAGTAACGGCACAGAGTTATCGTCCGTTCATTCTTTCACAGTTCGGGGGGGGGGGGGGTTGTGTTCCTCTGGGGGCTCAGGGAAGACCATTGCCTTGCCTCTTCAGCCTCTCAAGGCTGCCTGCATCCCTCAGGCCAGGCCCCACATGACTCCGAGCCCTGCTCCCATCTTCCATCCTCTCTCAGCCTCTGAGCCTCCTAACTCCCAGGATATTGTTTTCCATTGAGCTTTTAGAGCAGTGGTTCTCAACCTTCTGGCCCTTTAAATACAGTTCCTCATGCTGTGACCCAACCATAAAATCATTTTCGTTGCTACTTCATAACTGTCATGTTGCTACTGTTACAAATCGTCATGTAAATATCTGATATGCAGGATGGTCTTAGGCGACCCCTGGGAAAGGGTCATTGGACCCCCAAAGGGGTCGCGACCCACAGGTTGAGAAACGCTGTTTTAGAGAGAGTGGAAGAGAGGGAGGAGAGAGAGAGAGAGAGAGAGAGAGAGAGAGAGAGAGAGAGAGAGAGAGAGACATTGATTGGTTGCCCCTGCACCTGCAACCCAGGTGTGTGAACCCAGGTAGGTGCCCTTGACTGGGAATCAAACCCTCGACCTTTCGGTCTGCGGGCTGATGCTCTAACCACTCTAGCCAGGGCTGCCTCCCTCTTTTAAAACAACTTATTTTTATTGCATTGATTGGGGTGACATTGGTTAATGAAACTGTATGGGTTTCAGGTGTACAGTCTTACAACACGTCATCTGCATGTTGTACTGTGTGTCACCACCCTGTCAGGTCTCCTTCCGTCACATTGAGCCCCTCTCCCCTCTCCCCTCTCCCCTCCCCTCCCCCTCCCCCACCTCCCTCTGTAAGGGCCCTGTGATTACTGGGCTCCACAGCATAACCATCCCCCAGGGCCGCCTCCCATCTCAAGTGTCTAACACGTCTGTGAAGTTCCTTTTACCCATAAGTTCCCATGTTCACAGGTCTGGGGCACCAGGTAATGCTGTGTGCCTGGGCGCTGCCGTGCTGCACCCTGAGGACCACAGCGCTGCCCTCACTCCCCATCAGGTCGACACGGGGCAGGGGGAGCTTCAGAAGAGTGGCTCCAGCCCGGGCAACACCCCACTCGGGCCTCGGGCCTCGGGCCTCGGGCCTGGACCTGAGCTTCCCCACCTGCACACAAGGTGAGGCCCTGGGCTGTGAAGACAGCAACGACAGTGGACCAGGGGCTGCTGGCCCCGGCGACATCGAGGCAGGAGAGAGCCAGCGCCTGGTCACCTCCTGCAGGGTCACCGTGTCTGTCCAGGCTGGGCAGTCTGACGGGACAGTGTGATTGCTCGCACACTGCAGAGCCCGCTGTTGTGCGGGCAGCCGGGGAGGAGGCAGGAGGCAGGAGGCAGGAGGCTGCGGTCCAGGTTCAGAGAATGATCTCATCTGGTGACTTTTTAAATTGATGTTTCCAGTAGCTTGGCTGAGAAGGACCAGGGGGAGGGAGGGTGATTCGTGCAAACAGGACAGGGCCCGGAGGAGCCCAAGGACGCAGGGTGGGGAGAGGTGAGCCTGGCCGGCGGGTGAGGATCCGGGCCTCGCGGGGCCTGATGGCTGCGCAGGGAGTCTGACTGCAGGAGCCCGGGGTGGGGCTGATGGAAACGCCTGCACCGCCTGGGAGGGGCGCCGGCAGAGGGCACGGCTGGCCCACCGGTGCCCATCGATGCCCATCGGCGCCCCTCGCCCTGGGTGGCAGCTGCAGGAGGGCTGGGGACCCAGTGGAATCACGCACTGCCGGCGGCTCAGAGGCAGCGGGCGCTCCTCCCGCCTCGCGTTAGGAAGGACGAGGCCAGGAGCCCGCGGGGAAGGCGTCACGCAGCCGCCGGACAGTCCGCGTGGGGCGCGTGCAGCAGGCCTCGCGCAGGGAGATCCGCGCCCCTCTTCCCACCGCGTCTGGGCGGCGCCGGGGGCGGGGCTCCGCGGGGGCGTGGCCGGTCTCAGCCACGCCCCTCTTGCACCAGAGCGTGACGTCACGGTGGCGACGCCGGAAGTGGGGCTGGTGCGCATCGTTGCCGGGCAACCGGCGGGAGCGGGACGCGGGGACTTGGAGCCGCAGGCAGCGATCGAGGTCCCAGGGGCGACGCGGCCCAGGTGGGTGCGGGCCGGAGCCGGACCCCCGGCCTGAGCGCGCCCAGCTCGCCCCTCGGGAGCCGCAGACCCGGTCCCCGAGGGCGGTTAGTGGCCAACCCCGAACTCCGGCTGCCCTCCCGTCCGCCCCGCCCCGCCCCGCCCGGGGACCACCCGGAGTCCCGATCCCACTGGGGACTCCCCCTCCCCCCGTCCCCCCGCCCCGAGCGCCCGGACTCTCCCTTGCTCTGGCCAGACCGGGCCTCGCTGACCCCTGCCCACCGGCCCGAGTCCCCACGGCACCGAGTTGTCTGAGGACATGCCCCTGTGCGGGACGTGGCCGGGCGCCTGGGTGTCGGGACTGTGTGCGTCCCACTGTGACCCTGGACCAGGCGGGGCCACTCGCACCCCGGGGGAAGCCACCCGCAGCTCCTGGGCAGTGGGCGAGCCGCGGCCCCCAGGCCCCGGCAGCCCTGGGCCGCCCAGCTCCGCTGTGCGTGTGTCTCCTGAGCGTCCTCCCGTCTGCGGGGCTGGCCACACCCGCGCACACACGCACGTGGGAGCTCTAAGCGGGTCTCCGCGTGACCTCACAGCGGAAGCAGGCGAGGTCTCCGACCGCCAGGCCTCCGAAGGCAGCTGCTGAGAAGGCTAACCCCTGTTTTGTAAAACTACTGTTTGGAATTCTCTGCTATTCTTTAGACGGCCTCTTATTCTAAAAATAAATAATAATGACTTTGCTTCCCAGCCTGCCTTGGCCTGCTTGCATACTGAGGAAGGTAAACGTAGCTGTCTGACCTTGTAGGCCAGAGAATAGACACGCCCATACTCAGCGCCAGGCCGGTGCACTTTTTAATTGGATGGAACTGTGTAGTTACCGAGGCCACCAGCGAGGTAACCGCTAAGCACACCTAGGGCCGGCCCTTTCATCAAAAGGGAAGTTCTGCTTGTAGCTCTGCTTAGGATTTGAATTCATTTCCTCTAAGCCCCCCGCGGGGAATAAAGTGTGACTCCAACTCTCTGAGCATCGCTCGATTGATTCCGGTTCTCTGTAACAGTGCGAGAGCCCTGGGGGCCAGGGCAGTGCCTGTGCCCAGCGGGTGAGGGCCCGCTCCCACCCTCCTCGGTCAGATGGGGAAGCCAGGATCCCCAGGCTCCGTGTGGGGCTTTCCACCCGCATCGCTGGTGGCCTGGACCCAGGGAACACGGCGCCTGGGGGAGCTTGAAGGCCGGGAATCCTCAGCCAAGTCTGAGCAGCTCTCAGCACTGGGAACCCGGAGGGCCTGCAGCATCTCGAGCCCGGAGCCCCTTCTGCCCAGGAGTGTGGCTCCCACCAACCTCACCAGGCAGATCCTGGGTGACAGGCGCTGTCACCGCCCCTTCGAGGTATTTCTCAAGTACTTGGGAAGCGAAGCCTGGCTAGGGAGGGGTCTGCTGCTTTCTGGCCGCTGTCCCCTGCCTGGTGGCCACCTGCCCGTCCTCTGGAGCCAGGGAAGAAGGGAGGCCGCCTCCCTGCCCACTCCTCCAGGCTCTGGCCATGTCCGCCCTCCAGCCCCACTGCCACCTACCAGCTCAGGGCACGTGGGGAAGCGCCAGTGAGCTTATTGCAAAAGCCCCCGGGAAGCCCCACTCCAGTCTGTGTCGTGAGGGGGCGCCGGAGGCCCCCCCCCCCAGGCCGTGCTGGTCCCACCCCGTCTCCCAACCTGACCACCGTGTTTGGGTTTGCGTTCTGTGGCTGCCTCTGACCCTCCTGCCTTCCTCTTTCACCCACGGCCCTCTTTCCCCTCATCTCTTCCCAAACACAGAAGTAAGAGGCCAGAGAGAAACGGCCTCGCTGGTTCTAGGGAGGGCCTCCGACCAGGTCCGCACTCCCAGGCAGCTCGGCTCGCACACCGTTTTTGTTTGTTTGAATATATTTTTATTGATTTCAGAGGGGAAGGGAGGGGAGAGAGAGATGAGAATCATTGCCGCACACCTGGGACCGAGCCCGCAACCCGGGCACGTGCCCTGACCAGGAATGGAACCGACCTCCCGATCCACAGGTCTGCGCTCAACCACTGAGCTGAGCCGGCTGGACGCCAGCTGACTGGTGCAGCCAGCATTTGCGAGAATCAGCAGGCCACGCAGACACGGCGCACACGCACCTCTACACCCGCCCCGCCTCCCGCGAACGCATCCCCGGGCCTCAGGCCTGTAGCGGGAAAGTGCCTATTCATGTGTGGGTGGGTGCCCCAGCGTTAACGCGTGGAAGGGGTGCCAGCATTTTTAGGGCGCCTGTCCTTCACGCGTCCCTAAGCCCTTTCCACACAGCGTGGTTTTCCTTGAGGACCATGTGATAGCAGAGACGTGCAGTCATTTCACAAACTTGTTGGGACCAGTTATGTCCGTGGAAGGCGATGACATTCCCTGCGTGTCCCTCCTGTTTGGTGGGCGTTTCTTTCCTTTTCCAGCCCCTTCTCAGCTGTGAGAGTATTTCAGGTTTGCTGTTCTAGAATGGCCGGTCCCGCAGGCAATGGAGGACGTCTCCGGCCTCGGCCACTGCTTAGGGAGGAGCAGAGAGGAAAAGCCAGGCCTTGGATCTGGGCACAAATGGTAGGAAGGGCCTGCAGTTGGGACGAATGTTATTTTGTGTGTTTTTATAAATATATTTTTTTATTGATTTTGGAGAGGGAGAGCAAGATAGAAACATCAATGATGAGAATCATGGACCGGCCACCTCCTGCATGCCCCCTACTGGGGATCGAGCCTGCAACCCGGGACCCTGCAGTCCGCAGGCTGATGCTCTACCCACTGAGCCACATCGCCAGGGCCGGCCCCTCCTCTTGAAGCCACATTCCTCCTCCTCCCAATGCCCCATCGGCTGAGACAGAAGGTCTGAGTGACTTTGGGTGCGGAAGCCAGAGTGACTGGGAAACAACCCCGCACTGAGCGCTCGCCCTCCTGTGGGTGCCCCCTCCTGTGGGTGCCCCCTCCTGTAGGAGCCCCCTCCGGTGGGTGCCCCCTCCTGTGGGTGCTCGCCCTCCTGTGGGAGCCCCCTCCGGTGGGTACACCCTCCTGTGGGAGCCCCCTCCGGTGGGTGCCCCCTCCTGTGGGTGCCCCCTCCTGTGGGTGCTCGCCCTCCTGTGGGTGCCTCCTCCTGTGGGTGCCCCTCCTGTGGGTGCCTCCTCCTGTGGGTGCCCCCTCCTGTGGGTGCTCGCCCTCCTGTGGGTGCCCCCTCCTGTGGGTGCCCCTCCTGTGGGTGCCCCCTCCTGTGGGTTCCTCCTCCTGTGGGTGCCCCCTCCTGTGGGTGCTCGCCCTCCTGTGGGTGCCCCCTCCTGTGGGAGCCCCTCCTGTGGGAGCCCCCTCCTGTGGGTGCCCCCTCCTGTGGGTGCTCGCCCTCCTGTGGGAGCCCCCTCCTGTGAGTGCCTCCTCCTGTGGGTGCCCCTCCTGTGGGTTCCTCCTCCGGTGGGTGCCCCCTCCTGTGGGAGCCCCCTCCTGTGGGTGCTCCCTCCTGTGGGTGCCCCCTCCTTTGGGTGCCCCCTCCTGTGGGTGCCCCCTCCTGTGGGTGCCTCCCTCCCAAGGCGTCTGGTCTGCGGGACTGAGAGGGACATGGCTTCCAGGGACAGCTGCGAGGGGCGTGCTGTGCAGCCTCACTGGTTGGGGGGTGGTGGAGCCCAGAGCTGTTTTGTGGGGTTCTCCAATGCCGGAAGCCGGTCCATCCTTGCTGCTTGACACAGCCGCTGCAGGAAAGAAACGTCTGCGCAGCATATGTTTCAAGGGACCTGGCGTATATAGCATACTGTTCTTAATATGTTTGCTCCCCTTAGCGCTGTGTGTTTTAACCAAGGTCACCTCTCCGAGAAAGGTTGTTTCCCCAGGTAGGGATTTTTCCCTGAAGTCAGGGAGGGGATAAAACTCCTTAACTAAGTGCCAGGCGGGTAGTTAATCACTTTAACTACAAACAATCACACTTAAGTTACATAATCTTTACTCCCTGGAATGGAGATAAGAAACGCCCTAACCTTTGTAATAGAAATTGACAGGATTAAAATCAACTGGTATAAATACAGATGTAACAAGACAATAAACAGCAGAACCTCTCTGGAGATCCAGACCAGAACTTGGCTGGAGATCCTGGCTAGGCTGCTGATCAACTGAATGCTGTCTCCGTGTCCTGCCTTCTTCGCCGACTCCGTCTACGCCTTTGGGAACCCCTGGACCTGCTGGGGTTGGACCCCGGCACTCCAAGTCCCAGGCCAGTTGCCCGGAGGCCGCTGGGTAGACCCATTCTGCGCCCTCGGATCAGGTTAGATGGAGGCTCCTTCAGCAGAGCCAGTGCTCACCAAAGGGCACCAGGGACCCCATGAACGAGGTGGCACCCAGGGCCTCTGCCCGAGGAAGTGCGGCCGGCCCCTGGGGGCCTCTGAGGAACCCAGACCCGACGGCCTGTGCCGCTGCCCGGGGCACCCGTGTCCCCACAGCATCTCCTGCACCCAAAAGGCGAGCTTCCCCTGCTACCAGCTGAGGAAACCCCTCTCACAGAGCAGCAGTCAGCACTGAAGTTTATAAAATTGTACTAAATAAAACTGCCTGGATTAACCGTATTCTGACCGACTCACCGCTCTGTACGGGCAGCCAGCAGCCCCGCCCCACCCCTGGGGTCTGAGGCCCCTTTCCCAGGTGTCGGACCCAGGTGGGGGCGCCGCACAGGCTGTGGCTGGAACCTGGGAACTGCGCGTCCGCCATCACTTTCAGCCAGAAGGAGGTGGCGTCTGGAGCTGCTTTCCACCGCACTGCTCATGCCTTGGGGCTCCCAGCCCACTGCAGCTGCCCCCCCAGATTCAGGCTGGATGCCGCACTTTACCTATTCCCACCGCGCCTCCCTGCCCCTGCCATGAGCCACCTCCCCATTGTCCAAATCCATACCCACAAATCAGGACCCCAGAGCCCAAGCCCAAAGCCAGAGCCTGCCGCCTCCCTGCCCACTCTGATGTTTATACTCCGAAGGCTGGCAAGGTGGGCCCCGCAGCTACTTCGAAACGGAACATACTGAAAAGACAGAAATGCCGTGGACACAAAAGGCCGGTTTATTGCTTCTGAGACACACACACCTGGAACCACTGTCCACCAGGAGAGGATTCCAAAGCCTGAAGGAGCAACAGGCTGCTCAGGGCCACACCTCCTGCCGGCCCTGCCGGGCCCCTCTGCCCAGCGTGACGGGCTCCTCCCGGGGCGGGGCCGGCTCCAGGAGCGCCCTCGTCCTTGGCCCAGGCGGTCCCACTGCCCCCTGGACATCCAGTGAAATTCCTCCCCCCCCACGAGGCACCGCTGAGCCGGCAGACAGACCCTCAGGAGGCCGTGGACACTGCACCCCCCACTGCGCTGAGCAATCTTTGATCAAGGGAGGTGACGGCACTGACATGAAATCATCACGTGCCTGGAATTAAAACCGCCTTTTTGGTGAAGGGCAGGGAGAGGAACCAAGTGGGGAGGGCAGCGCCCTTGTGAGCTGGAGAGAAAGACCAGGTGGCACAGGCGGTGTCCACCAGGGCCCCGGGCAGGCACCCCGGCCAACCCCACCACCAACTCCCTCATGACCGAGGGGCCATCAAGACCCGGGTCCACGTTTCTTTAACCTTGGACATAAACTGACCTTGACCCGGGTCCCAGCAGTTACCACAGCAGGCGCAGGCAGGCCCCAGCCCACCAACAGCGAGCGTGTGCACAGGCCTTAGTGGCGTGGCCGGTGCTGAGGGGGCACCAGAGACCCCTTAGGTGTCTGAAGATCCACGAGGGCCACACAGCAATCTGACCTTGGCCCCCAAGAACATTTATATATAAACTAGAGGCCTGGTGCGCCACGTGACATTCGTGCACTGGGGGGTGGGGGGGTCCTCCGCCAGGCCTGCACCCTCTCGCAGTCCAGGACCCCTCAGGGGATGTCCGCCCGCCGGCAGGGAGTGAGCCTGAGCCTAAGCCGGCAGTGGGGCATCCCCCAAGGGGTCCTTAGCGCTGCCTCAGAGGCGGGAGAGGCTCCTGGCTGAGCACTGACCACTAGTGGGCAGCTCCTGCACTGAGGTCGCCCCGTGGTGGTCAGTGTGCATCAGAGCAACCAGTCTTCTGCCATTCGGTGGACGTGCCTATCAGCCGTTTATTAGGTAGGACAGCCATCCATTAAACGCTAGATTCTCACTTCCTTCCCACAAGCTGACGGTGGGGGGGCCCCCTCAGCGGATGAGGCGCCCGCAGGGCCTGGCAGCACATGGCGGTTCCTCCTGAGTTTACAGAGACCCTGGCTGGGAGGGAGCGACTCTTAAGAAGGAACCTTAGTAAACACACCAACTGCAGGTGCTCAGGCTACAGACGCTTCTAATTAGCAGCAGAGGATGTTTATAGAAAAAATATACTTTTAAGAAAATAGCTGAGAAAGTCTAGAGATAATGAAAAGTTTACAAAATATATCTTAAGCCAAAATGTTGCCCCAAACATATAAAACTCAATTTTTAAAAATTCACCTAGGAAAGGCAGACGCTGGTGGCCACGCCCTCGGGGCTGTCGGGCTGGTGAGGCCCAGCGCCGGCAGGAGGAGGCAGCCGGGGCTGCCCCGGGTCCCTGTGGCCAGCGCTGCGGGGCTGCTGGCGGCGGGCAGTGAGGGCACAGGCTCAGGTCTCCACCAGGATCTCCACCACGTGGTCCAGCTCGCCCAGGTCCCGCTTGTAGCTGACGCCAGGGGGCGGGGCGCCCGTGGGGGCCAAGGTCTCGAACCCGTCGCCAGGGACTGACTTGGCGCCCACCATGCCCGTCAGCACCGCGTCCAGGTCGTAGTAGGGCCCGTCCACGTCCGCAAACAGCCCTTCCGCCGCGCGGGGGGCCTTGCTGTCCAGCGTCTCGAAGATCTGGTCCAGCGACCTCTGGAAGCCGCCCCTGCTCTCCCGCGGGCTGGCCGCCTCCCACGCGCAGCCGGGAGCGCCCCGCGGCGCCTGCGCACTCGGGGCCCCTGGCGGTTCGGAGAGGAGGTCTGGCGCCGGGCTGCCCCCCGAGTCAGCAGCAGAGTGCCCCCCCTGCTGCTCCCACGGGGTCCGACACAGGATCTCGGTGGAGACGAGGCGCTCCAGCGGCCCCCGCCCCGCGCTCGCGGGCGCCGGCACCTGCCACGCGCTGTCCTGGCTCATCTCCTCCTGCAGCTGCCGGACGGTGTTGGCGATGAGCACCGAGCGGCAGAGGTTGGGCTCCGCCAGCATGTGGCACAGCTGCAGCTTCACCAGCGACATGTCCAGGAGCGACTGGCGCTGCAGGCTGCAGGCGGGCGGGGCCGGGGGGCTGTCCTCGCTGTCGGCGCACTTTCTCTTCAGCCCGCGGGCGAACATCGCGTCCGTGTCCTGCAGGGACGAGAGGACGAGGACGCCCTGAGCACCGTCCAGGGCCCCTCGCGGTCAGCCGGCCCGGGCGGAGCGGAGACCCGAGCGCCGAAGCGCGTGTAAGTCACGCACCGCCACTCGGAGCTCTGAGCGCGCGAACCACAGCCTCTAACCCCGCACAGCCGCCTCCACCGCACAGGCAACGGACTAGAACTGGAGGCTCACGCTAAGGAGCTGGGCTGCAGGCGCAGGCACAACCCCTGGGCTGCGCCAGGCAGGGCGCCTCACCCCAACCAGCAAACAGCCCCGCGAAGAGGTTCAGCGAACCCCGCAGGCAGGAGGCGCTGCTGGCGCCCTCAGAGTCCCGCCAGCGGCGGAGTCACCTTCATGTGAGCGGGCCTCTGCCCCCCACCCCTCCAGGGCCCTGGGGCCATCTGGGCTGTCAGCAGGGGCACAGGCTGGGGCAGGTCCCCTGGGCTCCCAGAGGGCTGGCTGCAGGGCCGCCACCAGCGCTCTCCGCTGACATGTGGGGGTGAGCACCGTGGGTGGGCGCCTCCCACCAGGGCTCCCCTTTCTAGAAAAGGAACCCATGCCGTTAGGTTTTCTCTTCCCAACTTTGTCAAGTAGCTCAACGTCTTTCCTTCAAATAACTCATTCGAGTTGTTCATGAGGGTTAGAATCTTCTAAATTTGCAAATTATTGGATTTAACCTTTTTAAAAATACCAACACCCCCCCGCCCCCTCGCCAGCCCTGCAGATGGAGGGCCCTGTCCTCGGAATTTCAACACCCGAGACCTCACTCCCATGTACTTAACGTGTAAAGCTTAAGCGACCGTGGGCATTTAGCCCCGGGCATGAACACCGACGTTCACGAACAAACACGTACAGGCATGTTCACAGCAGCGGCACTCAGAGCTGAACACGGAACAGGCTCGCACCGGCGTGGCCCACACCACGCACCCCCTTCCCCCAGCAATGGGAGCGGCCAGGGACCTCAGGGAACGGCCAATCTCAAAAGAACACGGGTGTGCTGACCCCACGGCGGTGACATTCTAACAGAGGGAGACGGGTGGGCGTGGCCGGAACAGGTCTGCATGGCATGGTGGGTCCACAAGCTATGCACCTGCTAAGTGCACAGAACCACACGCGTGCACACGCACACACATGCCATCAGATCAGACCTGTGGCCACCCAGGGGATTTTAAAATCCGAGTGACCACAGCCCTGGCCAGTGTGGGCGTCATATGTGCACCAAAAGGTCGCCAGTTCCATTCCCGGTCAGAGCACACGCCCGGAGCGCAGGCTTGGTCCCCCCCAGGGGGTGCAGGAGGCAGCATCCACGTTTGGTTTTGCTCTCACATCGGTATCTCTCTCCCTCTCCCTTCCTCTCTATGGGACTGAGTGACCATAGCTTATTCCTTACAAGACGAAGTCCCCCAGAACAGCAAGCAGGTCGAACACATCAGCACAGCCCGACACCACCGTCTGTCTGTCCGTCCGTCCGTCCGTCCGTCCGTCCTGCCCTCACACCAGTGCACAGGCGGTGCGCATGTCACGAGTTTACCACCAAAACACATACCAGGAAGACCATCCCAGTCACTCTGGTGGCAGAGTCACGTGTGGTCTTAGCAGCTAGTCCGGCGTTCACGCCCGCACCACCTGGGAAAGTCGCTGCTAAAACCGCTGAGTGCACAGAAGTGTATTCTGGTGTTATTACTGATTTTCCACACGGACACCTGTGAACCTACTTTTGCCCACCCTGTAGCTGAGACCATAAGATTATGTCGAGCTGAACCGGTTTGGCTCAGTGGATAGAGCGTTGGCCTGCGGACTCAAGGGTCCCGGGTTCGATTCCGGTCAGGGGCATGTACCTTGGTTGCGGGCACGTCCCCACTGGGGGGCGTGCAGGAGGCAGCTGATCGATCTCTCTCATCGATGTTTCTGACTTTCTATCCCTCTCCCTTCTTCTCTGTAAAAAATCAATAAAATATATTTTTAAAAAATAAAATAAATAAAAATAAAATAACAAAAAAAAAGATTATGTCGAACTACCAGACACCAGGTAGAGGACCAAGGCGAGGTTTCCGGGGGTCCTGTCGCGAGGCTCTGCACCTCTGGCTCTCAGTAGTGTTTCCAACAAAAGCTCAAGTCCGGCCTCTGCCTGCCAACTGGAGTCGGGGTGCCACGGGGCCTGGAGCGGCAGAGGCCGGCTTCCCTCACGGCGCAGGAGGCACTGACACTGCAGGGAGGCGGGTCTCTCAGGAGGACAGCCCGGAGGCCCACAACCTCCGGCCACAGCAGGAGGCTCCGTCAGCAACCAGTGGTTTCCCTACCTCGTCCCCATTCCGGCCGAGGGCCCACCAGAGGACGCCCTGCCCCAGCCTCCACAGGTGCCGAGCCCCCTTCTCCACAGGAAGCGCCTCCTTCCCGGCCTGCGTGCCTGCCAAGCAGGGGCTGGGTCCTCCCTGTGACTAATGGGAAGAGGATCAGAAAGTACTGGACAAGCCCCTGGCCCAGGCAGGACCCCTATTTCCGGGTTCTCCCTTGCGTTTTCTCTCTCGTTTATGGAACTGAGCTCATCTGCGTTCTTGCTGATCACAGTCGTATCAGGTGCAAGGTCACCATCACTTCGGACCCTGCACGTTTATCCCAACGTCCAGTCATACTGACCCACGTGTGAGGCTCTCCCCTCCCCTCCCCGCCCCCAGGCCCGCGGGCTCTCACTGGGGCTGCACCGCCGCCCAGCACTGGACTCCTCGGAGCCTCCACCAGGACTAGGAGGGCCCTTCCAGGCCGTGCACACCCACCCACCAGGTCTCCGCACCGCCCTCCCTGTAGGGTCCCCCAGCCGTGCTCCCCACTGCTCCTTCCCACCAGCCCACGGCCTCTGCCATCAGCCTGTTTCCCACCAGGGATCATGGGGGTCGAGGCCACCACCACAGGCAACATGGTGAATCTCAAAACACAGGGACGAAAAGCAAGACCAAGAGGCGGCCCGACTGTTCACCTGGCCCCGAGCAGGCAAGCTGACCAGCGCGCTGAGGACACGCCACCGGCGCGCCTGTCAGAACGCGGGCGAGTGCTGGCGTCCGTGCAGGTCACCGCCCTGCACACCTGATGACAACCAGGACGGACGAGCGAGGAGAGGAGCCTGCCGCAGGCGTGCTCCGTCCAAATCGCTCCTCAGCACAAGGCCGCCTGTGGCGTCACCCGGCGAGCCCACGTGCGGGTCACGGGGTCAGGCCGGGCCCAGAGGGGCCGGGAGGGTCACACTCCTCATGCCCTTGTGCCGGGACAAAGTCTGCAGTGTGTCCTGAGGGGACCCTGGGGGTTCGGGGCGGAGGTGGGACAGTCCCTTCCGTGGGCCTGGCCCAGCCGTCACCCTCCTCATGGGGACACGGGCCCACCGCCAGGCCGCCCGACCGCAGAGCCGGCCCCTGTTCAGGATGAACAGCCCTTTGGTCTCACCACCTCCATGATCTCGGGTCGGCCAGCTGGCGCGTCTAGTTAATGCCCAAATCCCACGGGCACTTGCCCTGCCAGCGTCCCCGGCCCTCAGGCCTCCTCCAGCCCAGGCGCTGGCCAGACAGAGAGGAGGACGGAAGGCTGGGCTCACATGGGGAGCGACCCCCCTGCAGCAGGCACCCAGCCCCACACCAACCTCACAGCGAGGCTGATGGGAACGCAGCTCCGACCCTGAGCAGGAGGGCGGGGACAGGACCGACTCTGACCTGACCCACCACTGTGACCTTCAGCCACTGCCAGGCACCCTGCGGGCCTCAGGTTTTTAAGGCAACTCGACCCTCTGTCACAGTCAGATCTACTGCGGAGCCCTCCACCCGAGAGGAGCAGGGCGCCGGGCGCCGGGGAGGGGAGACGGGCGTGCGCAAGGGGAGGCCGCCCCGCTGTGGGCTGCCATTCTCACGGCTGCTGCCACCAGGGCATCCAGGCCCCGGTTACCTGGAATGAAACAGGCTCCACTCGCCAGCTGAGGGAACGTCCCTGCCCTCCGTCCAGGCTAAACCTCCATCGGTCATGGCGAACTTTTTATCCTGCGTTTCAACTGTACTTATAAACCGTGGCACACCTGCACACGGAGCGGTGCGGGCAGGAAGCCGATGAGACAGTAACCTTCGTGTTCTTCTAGGCTCGTCTGGCGAGGACAGGGAACCCGGTGGGCCGGCGTTCTGAGCGCAGCACACGGCCCCAGGGAAAGGCGGCTGGGCCCGCTCTGCTCGCCCACAGCCCCCGGCACTCTCACCTGGGGACTCGTCCTGCAAATCCTATTTTGGGGACAATGAGCTTTTGAAGATGTGGAGCTCAGCTGGCCTGGGAGCTGTGGACTCGAGTTGCCAGTACTTTTCCGAGTCACAGCTGGGCCGCGTCCCAGGCTGGCTGCGGGGCCGCACCAGGAGCCACAGCAGACAGCGCTCCTGCCAGGGGGTCTGGGACAGGGCAGCCCACCCCACCCGTCAGTCCCCACCGGCCTGGGACGCTGCAGAGGCTGCTGGGAAGCGGGCAGGGCGCCAGTGTCAGACCCCCAGCCGCACGCTCGCTCCGGCGCTCCCAGACCAGAGAGCTGGGCCCACCGCAGTGTGGAGCAGGGAAGCCGTTGCAAAACGTCCTTAGCATCCGTGTACGAGGCAACCAAAGCCGAGAGACAAAGGGGGCACGCACGGGGCTACAGGAGGCTGCCCTGCCCCGGCTCCTGGGGAGGTGCCACTCTGTCCGGCATCCTATTCCAGCAGAACGGAGCTTCCCTGGGAGGAAATTCAAGTGCCCCATCGCTAACACTGCTACCACTCCTTCTGCAAGGCCTGCAGGTGAGGAGGGAACCTCGACTCCCGCTGTGGTCACTCGGTGGGTGACTGGATGGGTGGGTGGGAGGGTGACTGGGTGGGTGGGTGGGTGGGAGGGTGACTCGGTGGATGGGTGGGTGGGTAGGTGGGTGGGTGGGAGGGTGACTGGATAGGTGGATGGGAGGGTGACTGGGTGGATGGGTGGGTGGGTAGGTGGGTGGGAGGGTGACTGGATGGGTGGGTGGGAGGGTGACTCGGTGGGTGGATGGGTGGGTGGGTGACTAGGAGGGTGACTGGGTGGGTGGATGGGTGGGTGGGTGACTGGGTGGGTGGATGGGTGGGAGAGTGACTCGGTGGATGGGTGGGTGGGTAGGTGGGTGGGAGGGTGACTGGATGGGTGGGTGGGAGGGTGACTGGGTGGGTGGGTGACTGGGAGGGTGACTGGGTGGGTAGGTGGGTGGGTGGGAGGGTGGCTGGGTGGGAGGGTGACTGGGTGGGTGGGTGGGAGGGTGACTCGGTGGATGGGTGGGTGGGTAGGTGGGTGGGTGGGAGGGTGGGAGGGTGACTGGATGGGTGGGTGGGAGGGTGACTGGGTGGGTAGGTGGGTGGGAGGGTGACTGGGTGGGTGGATGGGAGGGTGACTGGGTGGGTGACTGGGTGGGTAGGTGGGTGGGAGGGTGACTGGGTGGGTGGATGGGAGGGTGACTGGGTGGGTAGATGGAAGGGTGGGTGGGTGGGAGGGTGACTGGGTGGGTGGGTGGGAGGGTGACTGGGTGGGTGGATGGGAGGGTGACTGGGTGGGTGGATGGGAGGGTGACTGGGTAGGTGGATGGGAGGGTGACTGGGTGGGTGGATGGGTGGGTGGGAGGGTGACTGGGTGGGTGACTGGTGGGTGGGTGGGAGGGTGACTGGGTGGGTGGGTGACTGGGTGGGTGGGCGGGAGGGTGACTGGGTGGGTGGGCGGGAGGGTGACTGGGTGGGTGGGCGGGAGGGTGACTGGGTGGGTTGGTGGGAGGGTGGCTGGGAGGGTGACTGGGTGGGTGGATGGGTGGGTGGGTGGGCGACTGGTGGGTGGGTGGGAGGGTGACTGGTGGGTGGGTGGGTGGGTGGGAGGGTGACTGGGTGGGTGGGTGGGAGGGTGACTGGTGGGTGGGTGGGTGGGTGACTGGGTGGGTGGGTGGGTGGGAGGGTGACTCGGTGGATGGGTGGGAGGGTGACTGGGTGGGTGGATGGGAGGGTGACTTGGTGGATGGGTGGGGGGGTGGGAGGGTGACTCGGTGGATGGGTGGGGGGGTGGGGGGGTGGGAGGGTGACTGGGTGGGTGGATGGGTGGGTGGATGGGTGGGTGACTGGCTGGGTGGGTGACTGGGTGGGTGGGTGACTGGTGGGTGGGTGACAGGGTGACTGGGTGGGTGGATGGGTGGGTGGGTGACTGGGTTGGTCGGGAAAGGAGGGGCAGCCACAGGGCACCTGGTCGGATGTAACTTTACGCGCGTCGCCCCGAGTCCCCGCGGGCTTCCCGGAGGCCTCCTGGGTGACGGACCTGCGCCGACCTGGGCCGACGCCCCGGGAAGGAGACCGGTGGGGGCCTCCCTACGAGGCACCACTTCCCGGCGCAGCAAACCCTCCCAGCGGGTCTCCATCTAAAAGGGCCGGGCGACAGCCACGAGCTGCGACTTTTGGGTAAAAATGGGGCAGGAGAGCGAACGTGGAGGCCGGGCAGCACCGGGGGGAACCCAGGTGGCTGACGGCTCCCCGGGCAGGAGGGGCGGGAGGGGGGAGGCAGAGCTCCACAAGGTCGCGCCCCTCCTCCGGGCGCCCGCCCCCCGCCCCCCAGGACCCCGGCCGCCCCGTCCCCCCAGGACCCCGGGCCGCTCCGCCCCCCAGGACCCCGGGCCGCCCCGTCCCCCCAGGACCCCGGGCCGCCCCGTCCCCCCAGGACCCCGGGCCGCCCCGTCCCCCCAAGACCCCGGGCCGCCCCCGCCCCCCCAGGAGCCCAGGCGACCATGTGCCGCCTCCCCGCGCCCGCGGGCCCCGCCACCCCCCAGGCGGAGGAACCGGGAGCCGAGACCCTCTGCTCACCTGGCCGCCCGCCGTCCGCGCCGCCTGCGCCGAGGGGGGGCGGGGCCGGGGCGGGGCCGCTCAGCGCCCACAAAGGGCCGCCTGACGCGGCCGCTCCGCCCGCTGATTGGCTGAGATCGGGGGCGGGGTCTCTGGTTCAAACTGGGGGCGGGGCCTGCCGCTGGAGTTCCCGCGCGGCCGCGTTGGCCGTTGGGCCCGCGTCCTCCGCCCCGCCCCCGCCGGCTCCCAGGTCTCCGCGCGCGGCCCTACTGCGCCTGCGCGGGCCACCTGGGGGCGGGGCGGCAATGGGAGCGGGAGCGTACCCAGAGCGGGCGGGGCGTGGGAGGGGCGGGGCGTAGGGCAGGAAGAGGGGCGTGGCGTGGCGTTGGACAGGAAGAGGGGCGGGGCGTGGAGGGGCGGGGCTTAGGTTAGGAAGAGGGGCGGGGCGTGGGAGGGATGGGCAGGAGGGGGTCCCCTGGAAGGACGCGAGTGGGGCCGCTGGGTCACGGGGTGACTCCATGTTGGCTCCTATGGGGACCCTGCACCGTTTTCCACCGCAGCTGCCCCACCGCCCAGCCAGCACCGGGGCGCAGGTATCCGCGTGGGTGTGAGGCCGCGTGTCGGGTGGGAAGCCGGGCCCCTGCGCCGTGGGGCGGTCAGCGGGTGTGGGCTGACGCCTCAGGAGGCTGGGCTGCCCCTGCCCCGTCCCCACTCCCACACCCGGGGTGGGCAAGGCCCCCTCCCCGCTCCTGCCGCCCTCCCGCCATCAGGCCCTGCGGTCGGCGCTGATGTCAGGCCTGGGGTTCCCCGCCCCCCCCCCCCCCCCCCCCCCCCCCGGTCTCAGAGGGGGCTCGACCCGGTGCTCGCGGCCAGGGCTCAGGGTGGGCCCGGCTCCCCACGCCCTTGGCAGCTGCCAGGCCAGCGCCCCCGCGGGAACGCTGCCCACTAGCGGCTGCATCCGACACTTCGGGCTCCCCGCCGCCAGCGCCCTCTAGGGGCCCCGGGACACGCACATGGCCTTGGGGTGCGGACCCTGGGACGGACCGGTCGGGGAGGCCGAACCGGGCCGGACTCACAATGCGCGTCCTGTGTCCGCGGCCTAAGCAGAGCAGGTGCCGTGGCCGGTCCCAAACCACAGGCCGGGCGCGGGCTCACCAGTTCCATGCCCGGCAGGGCACATGCGTGGGTTGTGGGATCGCTCTCCCTCTCTAAAATCAATAAACACATATTTTTTAAAGCTTCTTAAAAATACATTTGCGTTGATTTCAGAGAGGAAGGAAGAGGGAGCGAGAGATAGAAACATCAGTGATAAGAGAGACATTGATTGGTTGCCTCCTGCAGGCACCCGGATCAGGGCCAGGGATCAAGCCCACAACCTAGGTCCGTGCCCTTGGCCGGAATCGAAGCTGGGACCCCTCAGTCTGCAGCCAGTGCCCTGTCCACTGATCCGAACCAGCCAGGGCTATAAAAACATTTTATTTTAAATTACAGGCAGAGTACCTGAGGCACGGAGGGTGAGATAGCCGGTCACAGGGAGCAACACCAGGCAGCCAGCCGCCTCCCTGGGGGGACGGAGCACCCCCACCAGCGTCCGCACCCCCAGCCCACAGCCATCAACCCACCAGTGTGGCCAGCACCCCAGGGTCCAGCAGAGGCAGGACCCTGTGGCCCTTCCCTGGAGTGACCCTCCCATGGGCCATCCCCGCTTGGAGTCCGACCCCGAGGATGGGAGCCCAGAATTCCCAGCCAAACCCTCTGGGCCCACCTCCGTGGGCGGGGCCACCTCTCCCCCAGGGGTCCCTCAGGTGTGCGGCCTGTGGGCCCAGCCACCAGAGTGGAATGGGGGGGAAGCCTGGCAGGGGCCGTCCTGCCCCAGGCGTGCTGATGTCCTTGGGTGGGAAGCTGGAGCGGTCTGATGAAGGTCCCAGGCCGGCCGACGGCTTATGAAACCCATGGCGTGTGAGTGCTGCAGGCGTGGCAGGAGCCTGGTGGCCGTGGCCGTGGCCGTGGCTGGCCTAGGGCTCCACATGTGATTCGGGGAAGGACAGCAAGGGCCTGCTCAGGTGCAGGTCGTGCCGGCGAGTTGGGCGTCCGGCAGCGAATAAATCGCAGGTGTCCCGTCCCCCAGGAGCCCCCGGGACACACCTGTGGGCAGAGTCAGGAGCGTAGGTGGCGTGCCCCGTGGGGGGACACCTGGCAACTCTCAGGGCTCCCCGCAAGGACCTCACAGCTCACGGTGCGGCCTCCTCCCTAGCCGGTCACAGGGCGGGGGCAGAGGGGAGTGGAGGGAGGGAATGAACTGGGGGAGATGGGAGCGAAGGAGTGAGAGGGAGGGAGGGAGGGGGGAGGGAGGAGGGAGGGAGGGGGAGGGAGGGAGGGAGGAGGGAGGGAGGAAGAGGGAGGGAGGAGGGAGGAGGGAGGGAGGAAGAGGGAGGGAGGGGGGAGGGAGGGAGGGAGGAGGGAGGAGGGAGGGAGGAGGCAGGGAGGGAGGGAGGAGGCAGGGAGGGAGGAGGAGATGCCACCGAGGCTGCCGAGTTTCGAGAGTCAGCCGAAAGGTCACAGGCTGTGGCTCTGACCACAGCCCCAGTCATGGTGGATGAGGTCATGGCTACGGGTCGGGGCGGGTGGCACACACCACAGACACACAGGTGACATCTTTCAGAACAGTACCTTTGAAACTTACAAATCACCCCAGGAAACTTAATTTAAATAAATAGAGGAGGTGGCCCTGGCCAGTGTCACTCAGTGGTTAGAGCACCAGCCTGTGGACTGAAGGGTCCCGGGTTCGATTCCGGTCAAGGCACACGCCTGGGTTGTGGGTTCGATCCCTAGTGGGGGGCGTGCAGGGGGCAGCTGATCAGTGATTCTCTCTCATCATTGATGTTTCTATCTCTCCCTCTCCCTTCCTCTCTGAAATCAATAAAAATATACAAATAAAATAAAATAATAGAAGAGACAGGGGCACAGAGGAGGAGGGAGAGCCGGGAGAGATGAGGCCAGGAGGCCGGCAGCCCCAGAGCTGAGGGGGGGATCTGGCCCAGGCACCCCTGAGCCTCCAGGCGGAACCAGCCCAGACGCCCCGACCCCGGCTTCCTGCCCAGACTCTGAGCAAACAAGCCGCTTTAAGCCACTCCGTTTGTGGTGCAGATCCAGCAGCCCCGGAAACCCAGACACACTCCACGCGGGGGCGTCACGGGGCCCCGCCTGTCTTCACTCTCCCCCAGACTGTTCCAGAGCCCCCAGCCCACCCCTGAGGGAGCCCACGCGCTCGCCCCTCCCGGGCCTGGCCTCCCGGGGAGCCCTCGGGATTTTACTCAAAAAGGGAAAAGGACATTATTTCATGTAAAGGCGAAGCTGAGACTGACAGGCGTTCATCCCGTGTTTATTTCTAAATGTATTTTCTAAACGTGCCTTCTCAGTGCCTCTCCCAGTGAAGACAGACAACCAGCGCTGCCTTCCGGACACGAGACTGTAGCTGAGCACACGGCCGCACGGCCTCTTGGGAAAGGAACCCCCGAAACGGGGCGGGGGGGGGTGAGGGAGGGGCCTGGCCCCGGCGGCTGCTGCGTCCATCCCTGTGGTCCCTGTGCTTCGAGCCGTGCGGTGCCCGAGGCAGAGGTACTGGTGAGGTAGGTGTCGCTGGCCCTGTTGCAGATGGGGAAACTGAGGCAGTGGTGTGACTTGGCCCAGAAGTGGCTTGTTGGGGGCCTGCCTGGGTCCGGCCCCGAGCTGTGTGGTCTCCGGGGAGCCCACGTGCTCTCGGCCACCTGTCAGGCCGCCCGTGCTCCGCCTCGCCTGTGAGGGCCTGCGGCCGAGGGCTGGCTCTCATTCACCCCATCCAGCCCTGGCCGCTCTCCTGACAGTGAGTCCGGGAAGCCTGGCGTGAGGGATTCCCACCGCCTCGGAGCCCCAGCATGGCCGGGTGACAGGGCCTGGAGCTCCCTGCGGAGGACTCCCCGAGGGCTCGGAGCCTCCGTGCAGACCTCTCGGCACAGAGCCGGCCGCCCCGCAGGGCCCTCGGGGCTGGGCTCCCGCCCCCACAGGCCCGGGTGCCCACGGTCACCAGGCTCTGCCTAGGCGGGCTCCCTGTGCATGGCCCACCACGAACCACCGGTCGTCCAGGCCACGCCCACCGGGAAGCCAAGAAATGAAGTCTTCACTGGCCTGGCCACGTGGCTCAGGGGGTGAGCGCCGACCTATGAACCAGGAGGTCCCAGGTTCGAGTCCCGGTCAGGGCACATGCCCGGGTTGTGGACTCGATCCCCAGTGTGGGGCGTGCAGGAGGCAGCAGATCCATGATTCTCTCTCATCATTGATGTTTCCATCTCTTTCCCTCTCCCTTCCTCTCTGAAGATTTTATATATATTTTAAGTCTTCACTGGATGCTGACTCGGCACCTCCACGGTGCCCGGCATGTGCCAGCTCGCAGCCAAAGGAGCTGTGGATGAAGGGCCTCCTGCCTGCCTGGGCTGCCTGGCTCCTGCGCCTGGCACAGCCGCCGCCCTCGGCCCGGTGGGAAAGCCGGGCTGGGACCCGAGGGGAAGAGG